TTACATCATTAATTATTAATAGGCTCAAAAAATGTAATGTAAACACATGTATTGTAAGTACATGATTATAATATGCATGTATTTTATGAATAACGGGTCGGAATGTTATGAACCATACTCGATCCATTTGGCAAAATAAATAATGAGTTTGAAATTGGGTCTGGCCGTTTGGGTAAACGAAATTAAACACGCTCATACCAAATTAAAAAGAGATAATTCCCTAAATAGGAGTAAAAACGTTTTGAAATTCCAAAATAGGAGTATCATGTTTTTTTATTGCCTGAATAGGAGTAAATTTCTGCCAAGTTTGGTTTTACAAGGCTTTAAAGATGGCAGTTTCTTCCAAACTTGGCAGATTACTCCTATTCAAGGATTAAAAAACATGATACTCCTATTTTGGAATTTCAAAACGTTTTTACTCTTATTTAGGACAATTTCTGAATTAAAAAGGTAGATTGAGTCTAAACCAAACCCATTGACGGACCCTTTTCTTAGAGTTAGTAGTAGGGCTGAGCATATCGGTTTTCGGTTCGGTTTTATCAGTTTCGGTTCGGTTCGAAATGGATTGAAATATTTGTTACGAAACAAAAATCATACTATTTTTTGGTTCGGTTCGATTTAGTACGATTTGGTTCGGTTTGGATTTGTTAATTTTAATAATACTCCATATAATAATATGATGTTTTTTTTAATTTCTTTAGTTCGGTTTTGTTTGGTTTTTATCAGTTCGATTAAATACAATTTGGAAGAAATAGTACCAAACTCAAATCAAATTGCATTCGGTCTCGTTTTGGTTCGGTTTGGGACGATTCGGTTCGGTTAAACCAAACCGTTATGCTCACCGCTAATTAGTAGAGTTAATTGGGGCAGCTGACCCCTCCAACTGCTGTCTACCCTCCCCGGGTCGGGCAGCCCAAACTACGGTTTCGCTACTCCGTATTTATTAGGCTAAAGGGTCAAATAGGCACATGAACTAACTTAAAGTGTTCAATTAGCCCCTTATATAGGAGGTTCTGCCCGGCCGTCGCAAATTGGGGCGGTTCCCGGTTGAATTTTTTGATGAAATTTTTTGAGCATCTTCTTCATTAAGTCTAGTTTACCCATATCAAATTTCAGCTAAAAATTATATCGGGAAGGTAGTCAAATGATTTTCCGAAATGTACTGCCCTATTTAACTGCGCAGTATCTTAAAAAAATTATTTGACTGCATTCCCGGTTGAATTTTTAGCTGAAATTCGGTATGAGTAAACTAGACTTAATGACGAAGATGTTAAAAAAATTTCATCAAAAAATTCCACCGGAAACCGCCCCAATTTGAGACGGTCGGGCAGAACCTCCTATATAAGGGGTTAATTGATCAGTTAGTTCATGTTATCTATTTGACCCTTCCTATTTATTACTACGTATAAGCAACATTTGCTGAAACGTGATCTCTGTTTATCTTATCTCTGCGTTTAGGGTCTTCCCGTGTATGAATGAATCTATATTATTTTCAGAGCCTCGAATAGACAATCACGAAGGATTCTCAACGGTGGATCAGCCCAAACCAGGTTTTGGCTATTTATAAGCAATATTTCAATTGCTGATACATGTTACCCCTTTATGTGAATCATAAGAAATAATTACATAAACATGACCAAAATAAAGATGATTTACAAAAATATGATTCATTACTAGAGTAGTAATGAAATCATAGTAATTCATGTTCAAGTTTTGAACTTTAGTTACCACAGCACTATGTTGTAGTAATGAATAGTCATATTGATGTAATATTCTCATTCCAGACCCAGTGGACAGTGCAACAGGGGTCTCAAAGATCGACTTGTCTCTCTTTGCTTAAATCAACGCAGTGCTGCTGTTTGAATGTTTTACTAGCATATTCATGTGTTCATAGAGAGCCAACAAACAAAAGCAAAAACCAATAAACTACGCCTAGGATTCTCACCAATTGGGAATCAGACAAATCTCTTGAGATCATATATATTGCTTTCTAGGCATGTCACCATCAGGATTTGAGAATTTTGGGGATCTTATATGATATTTTTTTTTTTGCAATACTTGAATTGTTGTTTCTTTTTCTTTAGTTGCTTTCTTTACCTTATCTCCCTAACTCTTTAAAGACTATTTAAGGGCCATTTAATAGACGGAAGAGTATTCAAGTTTTCAGCAAGAAAAGTCTAAGGGGGTTTGTGGAATTTCCAATAAAAATTCCAACTTATTGTGTTAAAAATTTGCTTAACTATATTCTTCCTAGTTTTCTCCCCAAACACTAAACATAGCCAACCTTCTAAAGCTCAATCTACTCTTCCACTCGCTCGAAGGCCTTTGATAACATCTTGTCATCTTGTACAAAAGCTTCATAGTGCCCAGTAACACATATGTATATATAAATGGAAAAGGAACTTGTAACTTTTTGAATACACCAAGTGTAATCCGTCAATTAGACATTAGTTATCATCAAAATTATATCATGTACATCTATTGTCTATAAAGATATATTGTAAAATAATCTGTAAATTGCTCATTGACAACTAATCTCTGTTAACTAAATTGGTTTGCATGCCCACACTAAGCAATTGTCAGAGAAATTGATTCCTTCAAGAATGTTTGAATGCAGGTTTAGTTATGCAACCTACAAAAAAGACCCTGCCACCCAACACAATGAGCTCAAACAACGGTGGCACTCGTAATCCGACTACGGGAACGCTGATGGGTATATATAATATCTTCTTCCATAGTTTAATTAATGAATTTGTATCTGTCGAGTCGTGTAAGTTGATTGATAACATTTTTTATATGATTTATGATATGATTTACAAATTTGTTTAGTCTCATGTGATTTGGTTACATGTTCCAAATTCATGATATGAATTTTGGTTACCGTATACAAATTTTAAAAAGGGTTTTCACAGTTTGTAAATCTATTCATTTAATCGATTACACGGCTGTTTAAGTATTTTAGTTGTGTAGAATGATTGATGGATGTTCACTATATTTGCTGCTAACTGTGATTGGTAAATTAATATTCCCCAAAGGTGACATAAACATGCTGCAATCTCTGAAAAAAGAGAAACGGGAAAATAAGGTCATGTACTAACCAAAAAAGGTCAAATAAGGCCTTATTTAGGAGGCTTTGTCCGGCCGTCGTCATTTGAGGTGGTTACCGGTGGATTTTTTTGATGAACATTTTTTAGCATCTTATTCATTAAGTCTAGTTTACTCATACTTAATTTTAACTAAAACTTCAATAGGGAAGGCATTCAAATGAATTCTTGAAGATAACTGCGCAGTTAAAAGCATAGTTTTCTTCAAGAATTCATTTGAATGTCTTCCCGATTGAATTGTTAGCTGAAATTTGGTATGAGTAAACCAGACTTAATGAATAAGATGCTCAAAAAAATTCATCAAAAAATTCCACCGAGAACTGATCCAAATGACGACGGCCGGACAGAGCCTCCTAAATAAGGCCTTATTTGATCTTTTTTGATTAGTAGATACCTTATTTGCCCCTTTTCCCCTGAAAAATGATATCTGCAGCACGTAAGAGTCGTGTACACATACTGATTGTTTAATAGCCTTGTTACTGTGTTTTAACACCTAAAATGTTAAAGGGCTGTTACACAAAGTTGGTAGTAGCTAATGTCACATTGAAGCCACTTGTGTTGCTGCATATTGTTATTAATAAATATGCTATATTAGGAAACATTTTGGAATTAAAGAGATTGTGATTCGAACATTGTTTAATTTAGGCTGATTGGGTCGTTGCCCAACCTAAACTGCCAGGAAATCAGTTGAAGAGGCCTTGAATACTTACTTTGTATACTTATTGCCAAAATACAACACTCAACTATACATAATGTGCTGCTTACTGCCATGGTTTTAAAAGGCGTTTAGCCTTTACGCCCCTGAGGCGCAAAAGCGCAAAGGCGCTGTTTAATCGCACGTAAGGCTTAAGCCTTCCATTCCTGTAACAAGGCTTATGCCCTTTTTTCCTGATGCGTAGAATTGGGCGGTAAGCGCAAGGCTTAGACGAGGCGTATGCCTCTAATTAGAAGCAACTTGGGCTTATTTTTTCTAATTATTGGGGGCCTCGAATTGGTTTTCATCCTAAGTCTAAAATACGAAAAACCTGGGTCGCTCGTTTATCACCTAGCGCGTAGGTCCTCGCACATCGCTGCTATTCCAGTCGAAGAGGTGCTGTCTCAGTCGAAATTCCAGTACAGACCACAGAGGAAGGACTTCCGAGCTGCTTCCGTGCTTCATCCAGAACTCCATGTAGTTACTCGTATAAAATATCCCACCGCCTAGTTTCTTATTGTGTATTTGCGTTTGTTCTTTAAATTTTTATTTAAGTTTTTAGCTATTTAAAAGTTCAGTTTTGAAGTATTTAACATTTATTCTGCCACAATATCAGGCTGCCGTCTAATCTTTGTCCGTTTTTAATTAAGTTTTCAAACATTTAATTAAGTTTTTGTGTTTTTTATTTAATTTTTTAGTTATTTAAAAGTTTGAGTTTTGTTTCTGATCTTTGCCTGTTATAAAATTTTTACTGTATATACTATTTAGCCTAAAGTTTAAACTTTTAAGTTATCATATAAAACTATCACTTAGCTTAGTAATTTATTTGTTTAATATTACATACTTTACTACTTTACTTGGCTCAAGATAATTTAATTTAATTAGAAACAAGATTTTGTCTATACTATATGATACAGTATGTTGTAGGCTTGTTACTTGTAGCAACATTTAAGCAATTAATTTTTAGGCTTACACCTCGTTACGCCTCGGGAGGCTACCACCGAATGCCCTGAGGCCCGATTTCGCCTTTCAAAACCTTGCTTATTGCTTATTATGACACATCAGACTTGAACTATCATAAACTAAAATGTCCTGGTGAATGGTTCTAGCCCATAACCACAGGTCTGCCAGATTCCCTGCCACCCAACACAATGGGCTCTATATAATGGTTGTTCGAGCCCCTAACACAGTGGTCTGGTAGCCTGGTGGATTGTTGAGCTCTCAATCTGCGGATGAGTTTGTAGCTCTCAGGCCTTTGTGATAATATATTTGTATGGTCTTTATTTGTTTGATCCTGCTCAAGTGATATATTTTGTTGTGTTGGGTGTTAGTTTACACACCTCATCGGCATCATATATAGACTACAATCCTAGGAAAAAAACAACACAAAAAGATTCACAACAGCTGAGAAATCCAGGCTCAAAAGTAGGGCTGCACATCGCTTGGTTTAAAATAGCACGCCTGAGGCGCGCAAAGGCGCTAGGTGCCCCAAGGCATTTACTTTATCGCATCTTACACCCCCAGGCGGTGTAGGTTCTAAGAGGCGCGCCTTATATGGCGCTTTTTAACGCCTTTTGCGCATCTGGGTGGAGTGCGCTTCTCACACTTCATGGAACTGTCTTGGCGATTCAGTCTCTTTGGTCTTCTTCCTTTTTCCTTCTGCGTTGGCTTTGCTTCCTGACTCCGACACGGCAGGGGCGGAACCAGGGGGGTGCTAGCCGGTGCTGGCGCCACCCCTTCGCCGGAAATAGTAGAGTATATATATGTATATGTTTCATAGCCACCCCTGTTCTTCTTGTTCTTGTCCCTCTGTTTTCCCGTCGCCGGTGGAACTCTGCGGGCTTTAGCTGAGAAAATCTTTTGTTTTTTATTTACTTAATCCCAACGACGCCGTTTGGATAAGAGTCTCTAAAAAAATAAAACGACGTCGCGGCACGTGTTTGACTTATGGACAGAGACCGTAGGCTTAATTTATCGACGTTATCCGGCCAAATTGTCTAAACCCAAATCTGAACGCGAGAGCAATTAGCAAGGGATGGAGTCTGGCTGTTTGGAGTTCTGCAACCGATTAAGATTTTGGTGACTTCTACGGCGTAAGGATTGGCCGGAGGCTGAAGGGGTGAAGCCTCAAGCATCTCTACCTCATCTACAAACGACAACTACAGTAGGGTTGTATAATTTTTAATTTGTCTTGTTTACTCAATTATTTGTTTAATTCCTTGTTATAGTTCTTCTATTTTCTTGTTTCAAACTTTTAGATTTTTAATAATATTTAACTTGTTTACTCCTTCAAATTGTTTTAGTAGTTTAAATAATTTCAGAAAATAGAAATGGCTAATGTGTGAATTGTTAGGATATGTTTTATTTGTTTCAGATTTTAATGTGTATGTGATTCGTCTTCTAATAATTTATGGTTTTAAAATTTGTTAGGTTACCTCAATCTATTTCACAATTTGTAATCGGAGTGAGGGGTATGCTAAACGAGATAACAACAAACGTCATAGGGAAAAACATTTTCTTGTGGAATTCAATCGAAATGATATTGTTATTGATCTAGATCGAGTTGCGAAAATCTATTATTGCCTTTGATCCGTTCATTAGAAATCAAGTACAAGAGAGTACACAACTAGAGATCTTTGTAGTCCACTTTGGATGTTTTTACTTGGACTGTAATTTGTCTCAGACCAGTCCAGACCAGACCAGTTCAGACCAGACTACACCAGACTTGGATAGTTATAAAAATACAAAGAAACCAGACCTTACCAGACCAGACCAGTTTAGACCAGATCAGACCAGACCAGACCAGACTAGCAAATTACAGTCCAAGTAAAAACATCCTTTGTCATTTTTACTCTAAAAATCATACTCCTTCCGTATCAATTTATCTGTCTCACTTTTTTTGGGACACATCAAATTAATTACTCCGTATTTAATTTTCTTTAAGAAACTCACCATAAAAGCAATTACAGTAGTGCTACGGTATCATAAACTTCTTATTTTTTATAAAATGTATAATAATCATTTTAAATTGCGTGCAATAGCAAATGCGACTGATAATGTGATACGGAGGGAGTAGTAAAAATAGTAGATGTTTTAGATCCTCTTGATTTTGACATACTTTTCAGCCACCCCTTAAAAATTGTTCTGGTTCCGCCACTGCCGACACCTGTGTCCTGCTTCCTTCTGCGTTTGCTTTATCGCAAGTCCTGTTTCTTCGTGCTTTTGCTTTATCGCAAGTCCTGTTTCTTCCTGCGTTTGCTTTATCGCAAATCTTGTTTCTTCCGCTGCTGTCTTGCGTCGCAGGCCAGGACTCGCACCTCGGGTAAATCAATGAAAACGCCTCATGCCGCCTTGTGCCTCGCACCTCGGGTAAATCAATGAAAACGCCTCATGCCGCCTTGCGCCTTTTAAAACTAAGGCACATCGTGCGGGTTGGGTCGGATTTGCTATATTTTATGGGCCTACCCAATTTATTCAGGTTAGGTATTTACCAACCCGCGGTATGAAATATAAGTTGGTAAATCATGCATAAACGGATCGGGTACGGTCGGGTATTGAAAGGAATTTATTTCGGGTTTGAATCTTTAATATGGGCAAGCATGGTTTTAAAAGGCATTTCGCATCTACGCCTCAGAGGCGCAAAGGCGCTAACAAATCGCCTACAAGGCTTAAGCCTTACATTCTACTAACAAGGCTTACGCCTTTTTTTCCTGAGGCGGTGATGCGGTCCCAGTGCGCAAGGCTTAGCTGAGTTGTACGCATTTAACTAAATACAATTTGGGCTATTTTTTGAACTATTGGGGGCCTCAATTTTTAAATATAAAAAAATACCTGCAAGTTTAGGCGACACACGACATCCCTAGGTTCGCATATCGCTACCTTCCACTACTACGATATTAAGAAACGAGTTGAAGGCTTGAAGGTGAGTACATAGACTTCGACCTTTCAGAGCTGCTTCCGTTTGAGGTATTATTATGTAAATATATAGTAAAATATCCCACCGCCTACAGCCTACTTCTATAGTTTTATGTAGTTGTTGTTTAAGTTTATTTATTTAACTATTTAATTAATTTAAAGTTCAGGTCTGAAGTACTAGTCTGCTACGTATTTAATGCCTTTTTAGCCAGCAAACTATAAAATATTCCACCGCCCCACTACTTGTTAGTTGTTATGACTTCTGCTATAAAGTATTGTTATGGTTAGTTTATTTCTTTATTTCAATGTTATTAATTTATTTCTGTATTATTGGCCTACTGTTTGAACTTTAAAGTGCTCATAAAACTATCATTTAGCTTATTTATTTGTTTAATACTCCGTACATATAAGTACTTCATTACTAGCTTACTACTTTACTTGGATCAAGATGTACAGTTTAATTTAATCAGAAATATTATAAATTTATAATTAACTTCATTACAGTTTGGTTATGTCTAAAACTCTAAGCTTTTATGTTTTGTCTTGGAATTTTAGTGTTTTATGTTCTTTAAAGTTTTGACTTTGGTATTTCAATTTTAAGTTATTCTGACTTGGATGTTTTACTGTTAATTTGTTGTGTTATTTTTACTTTTGATTTTGTTTAGCTGGGATATTGTTAAGCAATTAATTTCGAGGCTTAGCTTACACCTTGTTACACCTCGAGGCTTACGCCTCGTGAGGCTACCATCAAACGCCTTGGGGCTCGATTTCGCCTTTCAAAACCTTGTGGGCAACTAGTTTATAAGAGTAAACTTAGGAAATAGTATCAAAACATTCTTGCGTAAAGGAAATTAGTTTAAAGAAAATATATACACTAATCACCTAATCAAAATGGTAAATGTTTATAATGTTAAAATCAGTGTTGTCATTCCCGGATAGCGAAGCGTAGCGGCCAACCCCAAAAACGCTATAGCGGTATAGCGGATAGCGGGATGACCGCTATTTAGACAATGTATATGCAAAATACATATTATGTGTATGCATACATTACATGTCATGCACATATCACAAATATGTCAGTCAAACGTCATAAAATTTATAGGGAAAATGGAAACTAATAATCCAACCTTTTAGCGGTCTTCTTTCAATAATCTCACCTTTTGATTATTCATGAATAATCCAACCTTTGCACCTCATCTTCATTCACTGGTCCCTGATCGGTTAATGACCTGCTATTCCAAGTTATTTTCTTATCTTTGCAAAATATTATCTTTGTGAAAGATGAGATTTATGGTATAACGATTTGCAAAGATAAGAAAATAGCTTGGAATAACAGGTCATCAACCGGTCAGGGACCAGTGAATGAAGATGAGGTGCAAATGTTGGATTATTCATGAATAATCAAAAGGTGGGATTATTGAAAGAAGACCACTAAAAGGTTGGATTATTAGTTTCCATTTTCCCAAATTTATACTTACTAAGTTACCAATAAAGAGGCATTAGAGTCTTAAACAAAAGAAACAAAATTTTCAAGTACCTTACCTCTAAACATTAGAAATTAAGTTCCAGATAATTCGTGTCATTAATATCTCATTATAAGAAAATTGTGGTTGTAGGGATGCCTTGAACAATCTAGTGTACTTTAACATGGAGATGTATGATATAGGCTATGTTTGATCTTGATTTCTGGTTTGAGTTGTTTAGTAGTGTTTACTACTGTTTAGTAGGGTTTTTTCGCTCCCCCATGTGTTTGGGAGGGTGAATTGAAATTATTTTTTACTCCAAAAGCATCTAAAAGTAACATGTATTCCCAAATTCCCTCTAAACTAGCACTAAAGTAGCCCTGTAAATTATAGCGGTGCTATAGCGTCCGTTATAGCCGCTATTCTTCCTACTATAGCGCCTGCTACAGCCGCTATTGCCAACCGCTCTGCTATAGGCAGTCTCATAGCGCCTACCCCCCGCTCCGCTATTCCACTATAGCGCCGCTATTGCCCGCTATTGACATCACTGGTTAAAATCATAGTCTTAGATAGAGCACATCAGTCTTAAATAGAAATTATCCAACTGAACTTTATAACATAACAATAATTTGAACTTTTGGCCTAGTCGGGTTTAAGATTTTAACTCCGCAACCTTACCCATTAGGTGTGGGTTCGTACATATTTAATCCGTGAATATTTTTAAAAATCAAATACCCGATTAAAACTGATCGGGTGGGGTTGGATCAGGCGGGTTATGCGGGTTTGAGTTATTCTTGTGAAGCCAAAAGCCAAAAACCCAAGCACCTCAAACTTGTAATTACAAACACACAAAATCATAGTTTTAAACCGTCTGAATCCAAATCGTTTTTAAAGCAAAACATATTAAAATTAAAATAGTTCTCAAAAACATTGTTGGATTAAATTAATGATTAACATACACTACAAAGTTTGTTTTCCATCTGTCAGTTTTCCATCTATCTGTTTTTCTTCCATCAGAGTTTTCATTCTTTTGTGCTTAGCAATATTAGAGAATTGATCACTTAAATTCATTTTCATTGGTCCATCAACATTACCAATCTCACTCCTTTGTTTTTAGTGTAGAGCTTTGAAAAGCATCTCTAGTTAAATTCGTCCTTCATTTAGTTATTTACTATTATCATTAGGTGTTACGAATGAATGCAAAAAAGTAACATAAATATTCTAAAGAACATTTGGTTTGTCGATCGCATCAAACCGATCAAACAATACAACAAATAACAACCCGATGGATAATATATGCAAACATATCTTCGGAATGTATCTACATTTAATGCGGGTTAATTAGCATGGCTTCATCATTTAATGAACATTGAATGAGTAGTATTATTTTCTCAGCTAAAGACCCAAACCCGTTTCTTCCAACCCGACCCAATAACTGACCTCTGACTATAGGCGGGAAAATTGTTTGATTTTCCACTTGCTTTTGTATAGAGATATATACTATATAGCTTCAGCCATCACATGTTTTTTTCTTTCCACATCCATTTAGGGTTTCAATTTTTCCATTTATTTATACGTGTTTATTTCAGATCCGTTTTTTAGACGATATGAATACCCCATGTTGGCAAGACGTATTACGAAGCCTGGTACGTCTTACCCCTTCTATGTAGTTTATATTTATATTTGTAAGTTCTTTACCTGCAGAAGTGTAAATCGCACTTCTACTCAACTATATGGCACTTATGTGGTGAACTTACAACACATTACCACACTTTTCACTCGTTATTTGAGCTGCACCTATACACGCACACAACATATGGAAGGACTAAGAAGTCCGTATTTATTCGTATAAGGGGAGCTACTTATGTGTTGTAAAAAGTGATGGTTTTAACCCCCATGTCGTCATGTCAGATGAAGCATCAAGATGTTGTGAATTGAAGGAAAGTGCCTATTGTCCAAGGTAGGCATTCTACACCCTTAATGGTTGTCTGAGTTCCTATGTACTCTTCAATTCCATGCTTACAATTTCTGAAAAGTGATTCATATGCTTACATGTATGATACACAGAAGATTAATCATTTTTCGGTGCTAATTTATTGAATCTATACATTGAGTATGGAATTATCATGTCCAAGAATATCACACCCGATAAGAAAGCTACTGATCGTCTATTTTATTTGACATTATAGAAGGTCACACCTTATTACTTTACACCCCTTTCCTAGGCCCCTATGATCTACCTATTGCTAAGGTCCTCAACTTTAATCTACAGTAAATAAGAAATTAGGGATTTACACTTTTAATCAATCATGATTCCTTCTTTACTGATGATGTATGGGGATATATATACACACAGGGTGCGCTTCTAATGAGAACCTTGCTTAACGTGAGAACCGTGAGAATTTCACTTTTAACTGAATGTGATACACTATAACCTTTGTACGTTACACTTTTTCAAAACACGGCAAATCAAATAACCACATTGGCAAATTCTTAAATATTTTGTCATTGCGAACATGTGTAGCATCTAAACATTATAGTGTATCATATTAAGTTAAAAGTGGAGTTCTCACGGTTCTCACGTTAAGAATGGTTCTCATTTGATTGAAAATCCACACACACATATATACATATACATATGTACACACATACATACATATAGATATATACATATAGAGAACAGACGCCTGACCAGAGCTGCCGTGCAGACCTGCCCGTTTGGGGCGGTTCTCAGTGGAATTTTTTGATGATTTTTTTGAGCTTGTTCTTCATCAACTCTAGATTATCCATACCAAATTTCAGCTCAAAATTCGATGTAAGGCAGTTAAATAAAATCTTCAAACATATGGCGCTGAAATCTTCAAACATATGGCGCTCAAAATTTGATGTAAGGCAGTTAACTGGCTTCCCGATCAAATTTGGAGCTGAAATTTGATATGGGTAAACTAGACTTGATGAGGAACATTCCCGAACGGGCAAGTCCGCACGGCGGCTTTGGTCAGGCGCGCCTGACTAGATAAGTACTCTATCCATATATATATATATATATATATATATATATATATATATATATATATAGAGAGAGAGAGAGAGAGAGAGAGAGAGAGAGAGAGAGAGAGAGAGGAAAGTTCATGTCAGGCCGGCCTGACGGGCTGCTCCGTCCGGCCGAGCCCGTTTGGGCACCTTCCCGGTGGAAGTTTTTGATGAAATTTTTTGAGCATGTTCCTCATCAAGTCTAGTTTGTCCATACCAAATTTCAGCTCAAAATTCGATCGGGAAGACATTCAAATCATTTTTTGAAGTTGACTGCAGTTTTATATGTATATTTTGATGCAGTCAACTTCAAAAAATGATTTGAATGCCTCCCCGATCGTATTTTGAGCTGAAATTTGGTATGGACAAACTAGACTTGATGAGGAACATGCTCAAAAAATTTCATCAAAAAATTCCACCGGTAAGGTGCCCAAACGGGCTCGTCCGGACGGAGGTTCCCGTCAGGCCGGCCTGACGAGAAGAGTACTCTATATATATATACATATACATATACATATACACATATAAACATTGGCTTGAGATATTTTCTCTACCCGTTTTTACCCTGAAAGGGCACCTTACGTTGTTGAACCAAAAACCAAGATGCATATATACACACATATATGCACATATACACATATATGCATAGAATAAAGATCAAATACAAAATGCTTAATTTACAATGTACAAACTTATCTTGGCCATCCAATGAGGTTATCTAAAGGATATAAAGGCAAGGTGGCATTTTTGTAATAAAACCTAACTTTTCTAGGGTGCAACTCGTTGAACGTTAATATGCAACTGCTATTTTATGAGTATATATTATGCAACACTTTGAACCTCAATATGCAATGCAAATAACGTCAAGGTGTCGTACAAATATTTTCACAATAAGCACAATTTGTACTTGATCTTTCCCCTATATGCATACACACACACACATATATATATAGATATATGTATACATGCATACATGTAGAGTTTTTAGCACATTTTCTAAAGAATCTTAAACATATGGTAAAAATTTGAAATAATATTTTATACTAACAATATTAAATTGTTATATAAAAACAATAAAATGGAGAATTGGACACAATTACATTTAAAAAAAAAACTTATTTTTTAATTTTGAATTTATAATTTATTTCTGGTGTTTTTTTGAAATTTATTTTATTAATTTAAAGTCAATAAGGATTAATTTGCTCCTTTATAAGAACATGGGGATATTTTTGCACCTTTTTAAAAGTTCGGGGTATAATTGTTTCAAAAAAAGTTGGGGAGTATTTTTTTGCTCCTTTTCCCTATATATATATATATATATATATATATATATATATATATATATATATATATATATATATATAGAGGGAGGTTCAAATAAAAAGTACTCCTTATATGAAAAGTGAGAAGTAAGCTTGACCGTTAAGATGAGAAAATGAGTGGATGAGATCAATTTTTAAGGGTAAAATTCGGTGCCAAAAGTGTAATTATCAAAAAGTTTTTTAAAAAATAACGTGACAAATGTGCATGACTACGGAGAAAAAGTGCATTGGACTAACACAAAAGTGCATCACTTTTTAGGAAAAAATAAGAAGTATAACTATTGTTTCTAATATATTTTTTAGTAGCTGAATGTGCACCATTACATATTGCATATGCACTTTTGCTATTATGTATTACACATTTTGGTTGGCCGTGAGTTTTGATCTATACCATCCATTTTTAAGTAATCAAGGCCTTAGATCACTTCTCACTTTTCATGGGAAGACCTCTTTGTATTAGAACTCAACCCTATATATATATATATATATATATATATATATATATAGAGAGAGAGAGAGAGAGAGAGAGAGAGAGAGAGAGAGAAATCATCTCATCAGGCCGGCCTGACGGGCTGCCCCGTCCGGCCGAGCCCGTTTGGGCACCTTCCCGGTGGAATTTTTTGATGAAATTTTTTGAGCATGTTCCTCATCAAGTCTAGTTTGTCCATACCAAATTTCAGCTCAAAATTCGATCGGGAAGGTCGTCAAATGATTTTTGCAAGTTAACTGGTCCGGAATATGTATTTTCCGGACCAGTTAACTTGGAAAAATCATTTGACAACCTTCCCGATCGAATTTTGAGCTGAAATTTGGTATGGACAAACTAGACTTGATGAGGAACATGCTCAAAAAATTTCATCAAAAACTTCCACCGGGAAGGTGCCCAAACGGGCTCGGCCGGACGGGGCAGCCCGTCAGGCCGGCCTGATGAGAAGAGCCCTCATATACCTCTCTCTATATATATATATATATATTTGTCCTCACTTGTAAGTTGTAACTTTGCTAGTCATCACTCCATCTTAATGGATAACGATAAGTGCATGTATCTGATATGTATCTTTTCTATTTTCTCTTACAATAGGCAATATGTTTTTTATTATTATTATAATCATTGGTTTTCTGCATGCTCCTTAAGTTTCATCACAAGTTTTTTACTCCGTAATAAATAAATGTCCTTTCTTGTACTTAGTTTCTGGTCCAGTTGTCCACGAGAAAATACTGTATCAATATGGATTTTTGCTTGAAAAAAGTTAATTCCATCTTGAAATGGCACACATATAACCTGTTTCAAATAAAGTTTCACAGCAAAGCCGCCTACAGAATCTATATTGGCCACACCAGAATTGACCATCATTCATGCGGGTGAGAGTGAAGATGAATCTGAAAGTAGCAATGACTGCAGCAACCTTAGTCTGAGCATACCTTCTCCACCACCATATGACGATATGGAATATTATAATCCTTCACCTTCCCCGCCTATTTCACCTCAGAAGTTTCAGAAAGAAATGAAAGAGCTGCGTAGAAGGGCTGAAGAGGAGCACGGGGTACAGTATTAGCATCATTTTTTTCTACATAATATCATACAATTGTTGTCTATCTGCTTTGTCCAAATGGCAAATTAGGGGTGATTAAAAAACAAGGTTACTCTCTATTCCCCGGTGTGGCCAAAGGCTGACCAAGAAAGAGCTCCCGTGGTTGGGTATCTTCCCTGTCAATTCACTCCCCAACTCCCGACTCCTACCCATCTTATTCAACCTCCTATTGCTCTCTGCAGAAATATTTGACTGTAGAATTAATTTTAAAAATAAGTGGCACCCTCCCACCATCGCTCTGAACTCCTCAACGGGTAAACTTTGAAAATCGATATCTCATTCACCCGTTATCCGTTTTGAGTGTACCACATATCGAATTGTAGCCCTTAGCAAGGACAATCTGAAACCACTTTGACCCGTCCCACATCGGAAGTGGACCCCACTAAAAAAATTGCCCCAAAATGACCATTTAATGCATTTTTATTAACACTTTTTCCAACACCACCATCCCTCCGTAAATATTCATGACGGAGAGGGTGTTGCTATAATTCATCTGGTAAGTTCATGAGCTGTTGCTGACGGATCAATGTGCTTTTGCAGGCTTGTCATGTGAAAGAGGGTGGTCAGTTCCGTGAGATACACTATAGGGCTGCAAAAGAAGCTCTTGAATGGTACAACTGCAAGAATGTGCGTAGTTGATCCATCTTTAGTTTCTTCCTTTTATTTGACTAAAGATTTTGTGCATAGTGGGGTTGTTAAAATTGTAATTTTGGATTGAACCAGTACAGAAGTTCAAAAATCGAGTCGTTAAAACCAATATAAATTGTATGATTTTATATAAAATAAAAAATTGAAATGTTAGATAAAAGGAAACCCACAATTTAACATTATTATGTCAAATAATAAGTTTTAGTTTTACAATTTTGTGTTAATAAAAGCTCATAGTAAGTAACAAGTTACAAAAGTACAAGTCTAAGTGGATGGAATCAGAATATAATATAGTAGCCAATACTCCCAGTAGTTTTGTTATTCAAAATATCTGTTGCTGGTGAGTTGGTATAGCTGAGGGTGTTAGGTACTATGTTGGCTTAGGCATGGGTTTGAATTCCTTCAACAATGACGGCTGATGATTTACTATTTCAAGATTTTGTTCCTTTTCTCAATTGTATGGCATCCCACACTGGAACAAAACCGATTTTGCTCCTTTCAACACTCTAATGAGTCCTGGTCTTCTTCTCAAGATATATCAGTGACAAAGGCTCAAAGCATATTGTTTGTTTCCGGGCCGATAGGCGTGAATTGGGCCTTGCCCTGGTACTGGCTTTGTCTTGTGGGGCTTGAAATTGAAATTATAAAGTCGCTTGAAAATTGTGATTTTGAATGATTTGATTGTGATCTTTTCTGATTTTATTACAAAATGATTTTGCATGCCAGTTAAATTGGTTGGGTTATTTTGAGTTGTAAAATCGTATGATTTTACGTTTTAAGTGGCAAATTTATTATGTTTTGTATAACGATAAATGCAATATGCAGGGAACACAGTTCAAGTTACTCAAGATGGTGGAGGTGGATTTTGCTGCTGGAATAGTTTTCTTTATCACCATGAAGGCAGTGGATGATAATGATCCTACTGGTTCCCCAGTCACCTTCTTGGCCAAGTATTATCACAGTGTGTTCGATTCAGACGATGAGGTTATGGAATGTGATCCTAAAAGCTAATTGACTGCCTCTAGGACATGCAAAGGGACTCTGTGCTCTACATCTTTTAATCCGTTATCTATCAACCCCAATAAGGTTATCTGAATTCCTTTATTTACTGGATGCACTCAAAGCATCATGAATATTTAATTTGATTTTGAGCCATGTTTATTTCGAATATATCAGGATTAAAAGACGATATGGTGATGAATGTTGTGCTTGTGCTTGCGCTTGCGCTTGCGATTTATTTATGATATAATTATTGGAAAAATCATTTATAGTAAAAGTATGTAGTGTTTCTAAATAGGAGTGATATTCATGAAGGTAAAAAGTTGATTTCTACGTAGTATATACGTAGTATATATAAGAATAAGAATGCAAATGGCTCATTAAAATTCAATTTTGACATCTAAAGAAAAATAGGACTGTTAATCATCGACTCTGCTTCTCACGATATTTTATTACTACAAAACTACGCATCCTTGAAATATATACGGCCATACGGGTTAGATGGGACACAAACTAACATCCAAGTGTGTCAAAGTAACAACTAACAACCAGTTATTAAAAGTCTATTCTGACTAACAATTCCAGTAGTTGTGTTATTCTTTTTACAATAATGAATTCCCAAACCCTATTATTGTTATCAGTATTGTAAAAACTCAACGGATAGAAAATGATAGAAAAACATGGAGTTCAAGAGAAATGAATCCATTAAAGTTCACTTCCAACAACGGTAGTGGTCCGGTGATATTAACCCATATGTGGGTGCTCCCTTTTTTGCGTGATCACTAATGGTTAAATAAACACGCTAATGCATCAATAAATTTCAGGAAAATGTTTTGAGAAGCTTGAAGGGTTGTACAGGAGCTTCCTAAGAGCATCTTCAATGCTAAAATGTTAACAGTGCATATGTGGCATGAGAAATAACCAATTAAAAAATAACAAATAAAACATCTCTCTCCTTATTCAAAGGGTCTTACATCATTTTGGAAAGTTTTCCTTCACAATGTCAAACACAATGTCTAGATGTAGACATTGTGATTGACATTGCAGACACAAACTTACCAAAAACACATATGACCGTGAAAAGAATGAGAGAGGAACGTCTTAAAATCAATATTTTGTGTCTATCTCTCTCATGCCATATGTGCAATGTGCACATTGTAGCATTGGAGATGCTCTAAGTAGCTACCTTATTGAGATTTCTGAGTTTCGCTCTTATGGAAGTCATGGTTCTGATTCTTGACCAATATTTCCAGTTTTGGACGTTCTGACCATTTATTTCTTCATAAACTTCCTGGTGTTCCACTTCAAAGATCACATTCTTAAGGTTGAGATCCTGCAAATGGGGAAAAACATTAAAGTAGTGTTTGTGATTGATTAAAAAAACACTACTTTAATGTACTTTCCCTACATTGCACATGGTACCCAATTAGACCAGGCCAAAGCAAATACTATGGCCTCTTATGATGACATTATTAGAGCAAATTCAGAGTACTTTCCCTACATTGCACATGGTACCCAATTAGACCAGGCCAAAGCAAATACTATGGCCTCTTATGATGACATTATTAGGGAGTGTTTGCAATTGCTTCAACTTTAAAAAAGTGATTTTTTAAAGTGATTTTGGGAAAAGTGATTAATAGTAAAAGTTGGTAGTGTTTGAGAAAAAAGTGATTCTGAAAAATTAAAAGTTGGTAGTGTTTGGTAAAATAAGTACTTTTTGTGTAATAGAAAAAGTGAAAAGCAGTTTAAAGCACCTTTCTACCTGCTTCCAGCTTTTAGCTTTTAACTGATTAATTTAAGCAGAAACTGTCATTTGAAAACACTCCTTTTAGCTTTTTTTAAGCCAAAAGCTGAAAAGTACTTTTTTTAATCAATCACAAACACTACTTAAATCCTAGACCGTTCTCTTCAAAAGGGAAGCAGACGTTTTGCCAGCTTCTCCAGATTAAATATATTTAATAGATTGAATGCTAGCACATAATTCAACATTAATGTGGCGAATGGCAATCAAACTTCAATAGCAAACTTGGATTGTAAGGTACAACCCACCTATTGTCGATATTAAACCCCCTGACATTGACACTAACTGAATTGTCACGACGACGATATAAAGGAAAGGAGCTAGAATCAAACTCAATTGCAGTAATGAATTGTGTTATTAGATGTCCTAACACAAGAACGAAATTGTGCGACACTCTTTCCTCTGCCTGTAAAAAGTTCTCTCAACTTAATAGGCATCTCATTTTAGACAAGGATGACCTCATCAGAAGAACAACAAAACCCTGGAGGCTCATATTGCATTCGTTTTGCACCACAATAACAGCAATCGTTGATCATACTTCACCGGAAATCCGGAATGGCAGATCCTCTACGATTACTTATATTCAACCCGAATAGTTGAAGCAAAATAATGACGTTGAAATTTTGAGAGTATTTTCAGATAGAAAGGATTCAACGATTTGAGTCACAAAAAGGATGCATAAATATTAAGAATAGATTTGTCACAATCGACAGAAAGAAAAGACATAAATATCATAGAGTCCAATGATGCGGGTTTTAAAACAACTCAATAACAGGTTCAATGTGTGGTTTCATAGAAAGATTCATCGATATGAAGCAAAGAAGGGGTAGCAAAGCGACAAAAAATAAGTTAATATCATTAAGTCAAGCCAATACGAAGAACACATTTAAACCAATGACACAACAACGTAAATTTCACCTGAGGTATTAATTGCAATGTTAGGAATACACGAAGTTAAATTATCTGGATGTAATTCACAGTATCGAATCTTACGCCTAAAGTTTGTTTGATCACGCTTCGTCTCGCGGCTAAAAGATTTGGAAGATGATTCTCGAAGTTCCATTTGGGCAGAGCTTTCACTATGTAACATATTTAAATATATTCAACAATCATAATAAGACAAAAAAAACCTCACATTGACACATAATCACACATAGGAATCAAAACTTATATAGCACTTACCCCAAGCTGCCTTCTCTGGTAATATTTAAGAAAAATTTAATACTTCTAACCGAAACACACTAAAAAATGTGACAATGCATATGTTTTGGCCGGAATACTATTTTGATACTATATCTGAAATAATTATTCTATACATTTTAAACTGTTGAAGAATGTGGTGCATATGTTAAATTATTCTTTATTTCTACATTAAATTAGTATATAAGACATGTATTATATGTAGGGGTGGCCTCGGGCCGGGCCCGGTTCGGGCCTTGAACCGGCCGGGCCCCGGTTCACCAAATGGGAGGCCCGGACCCGAACCGGCGGTGACCGGTTCCGGGCCAGACCGGGCCGGTTCCGGGCCAGTTCACCCGCCCTTTTTTTTTTTTTTTTGATTTTTTGGCTTCTCTTTTTAACCCCCTACCCCTCCCCCTCAACCCCAAACCATCCTAAACCACCTCAAATGGCCCAAAATACCTAATCCAACCTAAAAATTAAAAAAAATTCAAAAAAAAAATTAAAATCCGGCCCGGACCGGGCCCGAACCGGCCGGGCCGGTTCACCAAAAGCTGGGCCCGAGCCCGGACCGCCTAGCAGCCGGGCCGGGCCAAACTGAACCGCCAGACCCACCGGACCCCGGGCCGGGCCAAACAGTGACCGGGCCGGTTCGGTCCTGGTTCGGGCCGACCGGCCCGAGTCCACCCCTAATTATATGCTGTATTTTTAAATTGTGAAACGTTCAAAACACGTCGTGTCTTTATTCATTCCATGAACGATGAAGCATATATTTAGCCGTGCTTGTATCGTATTATACACAAATGTACGTATTATTGTACTATTCACAAACCGTATAATACTAAGTTACTAACTAAACACATGGATCAGTAATGATAGTATTATTTGGTCATGGCCTCATGGGTCAACTCGGTTAACGCCAAAGAAACCGGCCAATATTTCGTGAAAAATAAACATAAAATATAGTTCATTATATATTAGATCAAAGAGAAAATAGCTTAAATGGGAGTAACCCGATCCCTAAATGTTTTGAATCTTTCACAAATACTCGATCTGTAGCTTATCAGTATAACACTCCTATAACAACAACAATAAAAAAATTAAAAAATACACTCAGTTTTTCTTTTTTTTCTTTTTTGCAAAAAAATACTAGTAGTTATTTCTCCTTCCGTATTTAAATGATCACTATATTAGGTATTGGTATAATATTTTAGGGAGAAATACTAGGGGTAATGAATAGTGTAGGAAAGTAAGTAAGAAAGTGGAAAAATAGAAAAGAGAAGATAAAAGTAGAAAAAATAGAAGTAATTAAGTATTTTTAAAAGAAAAACTTACCAATAGAGTATTATAATTACAAATTTATTTTTATTAAAAACTATAGTGTAAGGAGTTAAACGATAAATATATGCGTTGGTTAGATATTCACAACAAAGAAGTAGTTGAGTTGGATTGTACGTAACATGCGCCAACCGCTGGTGCAGTGATCAAATCCCAATATGTGTCAATTTTTTTACTCCCCCTGTCCCAAAATTATCTTTCAATTGTTCCATTTCGGTCTGTTCCAAATTTATCTCATCTTTTTTTTTTGGTAAATAATTTGTGGTTCACAACCATTCTTACACATTTTTCTCTGCACAACTCTCCATCACACATTTCTCATTATCTTAAAACTCGTGCCCAGCCAAACCCGAAGTTAATTCTCGGATGGAGGGAGTATGAAAAATTTGGGGGAGCAGACATGGCCTTCTAGGCAACACAAAAGAAAAATAAAACAACAATAATTATGAGAGAGAAAATGTGAGGATGACCTCCTATTGCAGGTCACCTTTTGGTATTTTGGCTTAATTGACTTATTTTTTAGAGTAGATCTAGATGAGTTTATATGATGCTTTTAAAAGTAAATGGGTTTAAGTGATCTTTTTGCAATTGTAGAAGGACTTATTTGACTCTTTTTCCTTAATATTTTTATTGTGCTAACATATTCATATTCAATGAAATATAGTAACTACTTTTCATAAACTGCTTTTCATAAACTGCTACTTTAATTGACATGAATTCCATCATTTAAATTTAGTATGTTGCACCATTTCACTGTGGTCAAAAGCACTTTCTCAATAAAACAACAACAAAATGAATTGATTCTTTTTTCACTACATTCGTATGTCTTGATAACTGAAACATATTCTCCATAAAAAACTAAAGGACATATTACTGCAGGGGCGGATCTAGCCCTAGGCCAGGGTGGGCCTAGGCCCCACCTCAAAAAAAATAAAATTACTAGTATATATATGTATATTATGTTATATATAATTCCTTTAGAATGATATAAAATTTAAAAAAAGGCAGTTAGTGCATAGTTGATAGGTTGGCAAGATGGAAGAAGTTTAATGCACATGCCTTATATGTCGGGAGTTCGAAACTCATCAAGAATTTTTTTATTGATTTTTTAATAGAGAGCATAGCTTACAAATTTCAATTTTCTTTCTTAAAATCTCTGTCCTTCAAACATACGGAGTATCTATTTAACACTAATCTTCTAAGATCAATTACTACAAGGCTATCACCAATTGATCTCAATTCTCAAATGTTAGATGAGCTACATGCTAATATTGTGAATGCTATTGGTCTTTTTGAATATTAGTCTGAAAAATTAATTTGTTCAATTCATTGGATTTGGTATGTGAAAATTAGTTCAATATGTATGAGTTTGATGTGTTTTTTGCGTTCGACAGAGATTCTTATTCCTGTTATATTTATTTCGTCTTTGACATTTATGTTGAAATAGATTTTATTTTAAATATTTGAAAATAAATCTTGTCAAATAACATACTATTTTACTACATTTTGACTTTTCTTGTAATATACATTATTTAATTAGATTTTGGCCCAACCTGAATGGCTATGCTGGATCCGCCCCTGCATATTAGATGAGTCGATACTATTATAAATACTCCGCATTTATAATCTGTTCTTTGGTGAGTGTGAATTCAAAGCTGGACCAAAGTGGATGGTGTGAACTAAAAAACAGTTTCCTTAATGATAAGATATCGCAGCTGCTAATCTTTTGTTCATTAAATTTGATTTCCATCTTATTCAAGGCAAAGACATTAAAAAACAGTTTCCTTGGCATTTTGTTTCTTCTTTGCATTTTCCGCTATCCATATCTAGGATCGGAAAGAACACCAACTCTGTTTAATAACCAACAGGTTGTTCAGAAGAAAAGTAGAGGCATTTGAGATCATCATCAAAATTCAATGGACAAAGCATGAGTTATAGAGTCTGAATTGATCTATGGAATGTAATAAAAAATGAAGGACATGCGTGTTAAAAATAATATTTTAATAAAGACATCAATTTTGTGGTATGTCAATTAATTTAAATGGTTATAACCAACCTCATCATAACAATTCATTGCTTCTGAAATGGCTACAGTTGCTTGATTAAGTGGTTGTGCTAGTGCAATTAAAGAATCAGCATGAGCATTTTGGAGTAGTAGTTGCTGGATGATTTCTGTATTTGCACTCCTCCTATCCTATAAAATATATTTTGGTGAGCCAGATTCAATATATTGGGATAAATTTATGTCATGCGCAAAGGGTATTTACCATTCTTTTAAGAGGGCAGCCCGGGCACCTATTGGATTGATTTGAATTGATGCGTCATACCGTGTGGTCAAAGAGATACCTGTTATGTTAAATGCAAGCTCCATTTGATCACAAAATCTGAACTTTTAATGGAGATAAATAAATTATTGCATGAACTATTGTATGATCAGATTTAATACCTTGAAATGTTGTTATATATACCAAGTCGTTTGGCGAGAATAACTGGGTAGTTACCAATGCGGAGAAGTTTATCAAGTTCGATTCCTTGGGTAGTTGCAAAACTGTCCCAGTGTTACAACAACTGGTTTTGCCCTATGATAAAAAACATTGAATACCGTCATGCCATATGAATAAACATTCTTAATTGAATTAGAGAAAAGCTGTGTATCACCAATTGTTTAAAGGAGGATATAGCTAGTGAAATAAATAGAGAATAGGGAAGTTGTACAATCAACGATATTATCTGTAGGTCATACAAAATAAAACAAAAGCACACACTTGGGAAATGGTTTACATCAAGGTTAGGTAAGAGGTGGCAGTAGAATAGTCAGTATTATGTAGGTAGAATAATGGAACCGTAGATACTTAGGCATATGTTGTCTTTGGAAAAGTCAAAGAACATGTGAAAAGGGGTGGTGTCACTTTCAGCAAGCATTTGGAAGTCAACAGGATTGTGTTCATTGGTGTCTTGAATCATAGTTCTCCTATTCAACGTCCAAATGTAGTTATAAGTTGAATCTGGAAGTGAGTAGAAATGTTCAACAGGTTGGACTCAAGCGTTGGAACCAGATATGTGGAATAGAGATGCAGCCTTCCGTCAATAGCTTCAATTTCGTTTTCATAAACTAATGCCTTGACCTTGTTCCTCTGCACAATCAGATACAAGTATATATGAATCAAAAATAGGGTGTAGCTATAATCAAGTGTATAATAGAAAATTGATTTGAAGTGTATGTGAAAAAGATTTATTCTAATATGTTCATCTTGCAAGACTAAAGACTTGTATTTTCTTGAGCTTCGTGTTGATTGACGCATGTTGTTTTTTCTGTGACGGTCACTTTGCATGTCCATTGATAATTGATTGGTTTGCGGTGTGATATTAAGTATTAGCAAATGATTAGCCATGATTTAGTATGACCTATATGGCAACAAACGTTTGTGTATTAGAATTGAGAATGAATAACAGAAACAGGGGAAAGGTTTAGTTAGTCATAATTTCATATAACAAAACGTATAGTATGCCAAGCAATTTACTTTAATGAAACAAATAATGGGACCTAGAGATATTCCAAGATCAACATCAAGGAGGAAGCAATTATGTAGCTTTTGTTGACATGCAGAAATAACTAGCACAGTACCCGTGCATACGCACGGGGAATAACATTTGGTCTATCTATATTTTTATTCACGATCTAATTAAATATAAAAATAGATTTTTTTCTTACAATTTAATCATTTCAAAAATGGAGTATGATAAGTGAATATAAGAAAGCATAAATCCATGCAACAAATATTCAAAGTAAAAGAAAATTAAAATACATAAAAACCGACATCATCCATTAGAATTTGCTACGTAATAATAATTAACAATGTTGGTCACAGATAATGAAATATTGAACTTAATTGTTAGAGTTTTGTAAAACTACCTTACACAGAACTTTGAGTAGTCTTGTGACTTTCCTTTCTTATCATGTAAATAGTATTAAAATCACCGATCCATATTTTTAAAATTCTCGATAACGTCACACATATAAACCACTACGTATGAGAGAGAAAACTCTTCCGGTCAATTGTTAAAGCTGACTTATCTTATACTTATACTTTTTATTATTATACCTAAAAGTAATTACGTGTGAGAGAGAAACTTTTTCCGCTCAATTCTTTTAGCCGGCTTGTCTTCTTGTACCTAAAACCACTTCGTATGAGAAAGAAAATTCACCCGCTCAATTTTTAGCTGGTTTATCTTATAACCAAAAGCACTACTACGCATGAAAGAGACAATTCTCCTGCTCAATTTTTAGCCAGTTTATGTTATTCCTAAAATCACTATGTATGAGAGAGCAAATTTTCCCGGTCAATTGCTTTAGCCCTATCATCTTATACCTGATATAAAAGTACTAAGTATGAGAGAGAAATTTCCCCATTGAATTTTTAGTCGTATTATCTTATCTAATACCTAGTCAATGCGTATGAGAGAGAAAATTGTTCCTTGAATCTAAAAACACTTCGTATGTGAGAAGAAATTTTCCTTCCCAATTATTAGTTCGCTTATCTTATCGTATACCTAAAAACACTACATATGAGAGAAAATAATTCTCTAGCTTAATTATTAGTCCGTTTATCTTATCTTATATACCTAAACTCACTACATATGAGAGAGAAAATTAACTTTCATGCTCAATTATTAGCCCGTTTATCTTTTATATATGAGAGAGAAATTCTACCGCTCAATTATTAGTCCGCTTTTCTTACACCAAAAAGCACCATGTATGAGAGACGGAATTCGCATTGTCAATTATTAGTATGTTTACCTTATCTTATACCTAAAAACACTACATATGTAAGAATAAACACACTTAATTATTAGTTCGCTTATCTAGTCTAGTTTAACTAAAAACACAACATATGAGAGAGAAAATTCTTCCACTCAATTATGAATCCACATATCTTATCTTATCTTATCTTATCTTATCTTATCTTATCTTATCTTATCTTATCTTATCTTATCTTATCTTATCTTATCTTATCTTATCTTATCTTATCTTATCTTATCTTATCTTATCTTATCTTATCTTATCTTATCTTATCTTATCTTATCTTATCTTATCTTATCTTATCTTATCTTATCTTATCTTATCTTATCTTATCTTATCTTATCTTATCTTATCTTATCTTATCTTATCTTATCTTATCTTATCTTATCTTATCTTATCTTATCTTATCTTATCTTATCTTATCTTATCTTATCTTATCTTATCTTATCTTATCTTATCTTATCTTATCTTATCTTATCTTATCTTATCTTATCTTATCTTATCTTATCTTATCTTATCTTATCTTATCTTATCTTATCTTATCTTATCTTATCTTATCTTATCTTATCTTATCTTATCTTATCTTATCTTATCTTATCTTATCTTATCTTATCTTATCTTATCTTATCTTATCTTATCTTATCTTATCTTATCTTATCTTATCTTATCTTATCTTATCTTATCTTATCTTATCTTATCTTATCTTATCTTATCTTATCTTATCTTATCTTATCTTATCTTATCTTATCTTATCTTATCTTATCTTATCTTATCTTATCTTATGCATGAGAGATAAAATTCTCCCTCTCAATTATGAGCACACTTATCTTCTTATACCAAAAAGTACTACTACATATGAGAGAGAAAATTATGTCTGCCCATTTATTAGTCCGCTTATCTCATACCAATAAGCACTACATATGAGAGAGAAAATTTTTCTGCTTATCTTCTTATACTTAAAAGCACTACATATGAGAGACTAAGGATGTTTTCTTTTGGACTGAAATTTGCTGGTCTGTTCTGGTCTGTTTAAGTCTGGTCTGGTCTGGTCTGGTCTGGTCTGGTCTGGTCTGTTTAAGTCTGGTCTGGTCTGGTCTGAACTGGTCTGGTCTGGTCTGGTAAACGTCTGGTCTCTGTGTATTTTATAACTACGGAAGTCTGGTCTGGTCTGGTCTGGTCTGTTTAAGTCTGGTCTGGTCTGGTCTGGTCTGTTTAAGTCTGGTCTGGTCTGGTCTGGTCTGTTTAAGTCTGGTCTGGTCTGGTCTGGGACTGAAAACAGTCCAAAAGAAAACATCCTAAATTTTCTTTCTCAATCATTAGTTCGTTTATCTTCTTATACCTAAACGCACTACATATGAGGGAGCAAATTCTCTGTCTCAATTATTAGTCCACCTATTTTATTTTATACCTAAAAGAACTACAAGAGAGAAAATTCTCCTGCGCAAATATTAGTCTACTTATCTTCTTATACTTAACACACTACAAATGACAAGATAATTCTCCCACTCAATAGTTAGTCCACATATCTTATTTTATCTTATACATAAAAGCATTACATACGTATGAGATATAAAATTCTCTCCCTCAATTATCAGCACACTTATCTTCTGATACCTAAAAGCACTACATATGAGAAAGAAAATTTTTCTGTCCATTTATTAGTCGGCTTATCTTATACCAAATAAAACTACATGTGAGAGAGAAAATTATCCTGCTTATCTTCTTATACTTAAAAAGGAAAGTTCCCAAAATAGGAAACAGTTTGAAAATTCCAAAATAGGACTGTCATGTTTTTATTCCCAAAATAGGAGTAATTACTGCCAAGTTTGAAAAATACTGCCATGTTTGAAGCTTGGTACTGCCAAAACATGGCAATAATTAGTTCTATTTTGGGAATAAAAACTTGGCAGTCTTATTTTGAAATTTTCAAACATTTTTAGGCCTATTTTGGGTAAATTCTCTACTTAAAAATACTTCATATGAGAGACTAAATTATCTCACTCGATCATTAGTTCATTTTCTTCTTATAACTAAACGCACTACATATGAGGGAGAAAATTTTTCATCACGATTATTAGTCCGCTTATTTTAGATAAAAAAGCACTACTTGTGTGAGAGAAAATTCCCTACTCATTTATTAGTGCGTTTATCTTCTTGTACCTAAAAACATTACATATGAGTTAGAATTTAATTCTCCCACTTAATTATTAGCCCGCTTACATTATACCTAAAATTACTATATGTGAGAGAGAAAATTCTTTTGCACAAATTAATAGTTTTTATATATCCAATATTGGTATCATATGAAAAATAATAAAAAGATATGAATTATGATATATTTCTTGTAACAATCGAAGTACAAATAAAATATTTATAACACTATAAATGAGAAGTTTTTTGAAGTATTAGATCATTTTCGTATTTGATACATACAGTTTTGGTGTCATATGAAAGATAAAAACAAAATATGAAGTATGATATATATTTCTTGTAACAATCGAAGTACAAATCAAATAGTTATAACACTATAGAAGATTTTTTTTTTTGAAGTACTAAATCATTTTTGTATTTTATATATACAATTTTGGTGTCATATGGAAGATAAAAAATGAAGTATGATATATTTCTTGTATCAATCGAAGTACAAAAACATTGGTGACATATGTGAGTTAATAGAAAATTATTAAATTTGATATTTTTTGTAACATTCAAATGACAAATAAAAAAATTAGGGGACTTTATTTGATTGAGATAAATTAATAGAAATATTAAAATAAAGTAAAAATTAAATTTGACAGTTAATAATAAAAATTATTAAATTTGATGTTTTTTGTAACGATGAGAGTACAATTAAACCAAATATAGTACTTTAAAAAAATAGGTGACTTTATTTGATTGAGATAAATTAATAGAA